GTTAAACTTGTATTAAAGTTTTTCTTCACTACCCATTTAAGCCGTCTCCAGCCATTATTAGACTCAAACTGTTTATTGTTAACAACAATAACTTTAACATCTTCAGTTGTTGTTAAAAATATCACCAACTTTGGTTAGTGTTACAAGTATTCTCAAATTTTTTTTATTGTAAACAGTATCTCTAATGTCTTCTCATACTGTTAAAAGTATCACCAAATTTTTCAAATATTGTCAAAAGTGGCTATGACATATTCTCTTATTGCTTACAGCAACATAACATAATCTGTTATTGTTAGAAGTATCACAAGCATTGTCTGTTATTGTTAACAGTGTTACGTATTGAGAACTTGAAATAATCCAAGGCCGTGTTAAATAATTTAAACTTTAATAGTTGAACTGTACCCTGGATTTAGTGTTTATAAATATGCCGATATTTTATTTAATTCACGCTATTTGCCAACAAGATTGATTCCCACCGTTTTTGTTTTGACTCAAATAAGCTTTAATATATATGTATAACTTACAATGCCAACTATTACGAGTAGTTGTTACAAGACCACGTTTCATAAACATAAATTTCACTAACTTACAAATAGCCTAAAATCGTCTTCCTAGTTCAGAGTCTCCTTGATATCCAGCGAGTTAATTTGAAGTCGATGTACGTACAATTATCGGGGAGCTAGCTAGCTTTGTCAGGCACTGAATTGTTGTACTGTTGAAGTCAGATAATATTTTCACAAAATCACCAGTGTCCGATGAGAAATTAGTAATATTCTTGGAGAGATATTAACATTTGATGAGAATTCACTGACGTTCGAAATTTATAACTATTCCTGGTCAAATGTCGTATATTTTCCGGTTGATAAGGGTTAGCAAAATCACACTTTATAGCTTACACGGTTATAACAGTTTCATTGTAGCCTTGCCTGTTCTCTATTGTTTGTTGTTTTTATAGGCGCGACACATTTTCTATAAACTTCTGATAATACCGTTACGGAAGTGGATATATTGTTTATTCTTGTGTTCACGAATATTCTACAATCTTGGATATTGGCGGGAGTATCGCCATACCTAACCAACACGGTAAGCTAGACACGTACTCAAATATAAACTTATTCGAAACAAACGTTGACATTAAAATAAATATATAACAAATTCGTTATATGCAACAAATATCTGATACTATAAGTCACGCATATTTCTAAATACAAATTCAATCCAAACAACGTTTATATTAAAAATAAATACATAATGATAAATTCGTTACAACAGTAACATCAGCACAATCTGTTGTTACGTAAATTTAGGAGACGTCTTGAATCTGTAGTGAGAGAAACTTTATTGCAAATGTACAAAGTTTCAATAAACTCACGTCATTATCATCTACGTAGTTACTTCCACATTTCTACATCCCCTAGAATTCTGTCCATGAATCCAAACAAAAAAATCAATATATGAAAATCCTTATAAACACAGCTTCAAGACTGTTCGACTGACTACAGTACGTAGATGACAAAATCAACTTTATAAAATAATCCTTCATTCACTATTGTCGAAACATTTTCACACAATCACAAAACTTAACTCGCAAACAAAACTGACACTAATACACCAAACAACAACACAATATTACACTGCAGTTTACTATTACAGCAAACAACAACACAATATGACACTGTAGTTTACTATTACACCAAACAACAACACAATATTACACTGCAGTTTACTGTTACACCAAACAACAACACAATATTACACTGTAGTTTACTATTACACTAAGCAACAACAAAATATGACACTGTAGTTTACTATTACAGCAAACAACAACACAATATGACACTGTAGTTTACTATTACAGCAAACAACAACACAATATGACACTGCAGTTTACTATTACAGCAAACAACAACACAATATGACACTGCAGTTTACTATTACAGCAAACAACAACACAATATGACACTGCAGTTTTACTATTAC